TGTGCAATCTAAGACTTTCAGGTCCAATCAGAATTTTTTTTTCCCCCAAAAAGATGATTTTTTGGCGGTTCATGAGATTCGCTCGAGTATGTTGTTCTAAAAGGTCTAAGAATAGCACTGTTCACCGACAAACACTAAGGACCATTAGGGTTATTTAATCGATCAATCCAGTTGTGAACCCCTCGTGTGAAGGGACGTAGCGTATGCCCAGCTAACTCTAGCGGAAACCGATCGCGTACCGATTGCCTAGAGGCTTTATACTCTACCGTGGACTACCATACCCCGCATCGTACGATTGGATAACATATAGAAGTACGTGTATCGTAAAAATTCCAGTCACGTGTGAAGTCGGGATATCGAATGTTCGCTAAATCACAATAATATAAAGCAACAGATGAAAGGATCGTTAAGAGCAGAAAGAAAATGGGTGTTAAGTATCGCTTCTGAAACACTTAGAGTTATTTGTTGAGCATTCATCTACACTACTCATTAGTAGTCACGAAATACCAAAAATAACGGTTCCAGGATTTTTAAACACACAAGGTGAATTACATTAAAAGGGGAAATCCTCATGGACAAATAGCATACTGTAAAAGGGAGAGTAGGGGAACATTCACGTAAGACTTAGTTTGTGGATTCTGTGTTTAAAAAGTGTAAGATTGTAAGTTGGGGGGCAGCAAGTAGAATGATGTTCCACAATTTGTCAGTTCGGGAAAAAAAATTGGAGCAGAGGTACGACATCTGGCAACAGAAAACTGATAAGAATGACTAGATGCTTGTGTACAGGATGGACGGGTAAAAGATGCAGGAGGAGAAACTGACGAGGCAAGTTACGAAGAACAAAAGATAGGATTTTTATTCGTTCCCAAGCCACCCACCTCAATAAAGACATCACCATTGTTCAATATGCATGGTAGGTTTTGGTCGTCATTTTTATCAATTTTATTTTAAAAAATGAACCTCACTTTTTTCTACTGTTGTTAGATTTCAACAATGTTTGATAAAAAACAAACACAATGGTGACGAAGATAATTAGAGATGCGGAACTCCATAGGTCGAAACCGAAAAATGACTATGACGGAATAGCTTGGTTGTGACAAAATTTCCTGCTGTTGGTCACCTCTAGCGTCAACATTTTTGTCACATACTCACTTGGATTGCGCAGACGATCTTCACAAATAATTTTGCACGAATCAATCGTATCAAAATGATTGCCTCGCGCGCCACAACCCGTGTAGGTGAATGGTTGGCATTTGCCCAAACGTCTGTCATAGAAGTATCGCGTAAGTTGAGCGTGCGGGTAGCCTGGAGCGTTCATGTGATGCAGATTTGAGACCGGACACGTGCCGTACGAGTGACTTTCGAGACACAAATCCCAAGCTGATGCGGGGATGAAATGTGAATTGCAGAGCAGAGCAAACACATTATTTTAATTCAATACCCATAGAAGGATAAGGATTGCTTTATTTTTAGCTGGGTTTGAAGTGGCTGCCGGTTTTACCGAGTTGCTGGGAGGGGGTATTCAAACGTCTTAATTCCCACTTCACTAGAAAAAGCAGCTCAGAATAAAGACACACTGAACGACTGAACAAGCATATACTTCGGTGGAAAAACAGAAAAATTCCATTCTGAGCGCCCGATCACACGTCAAGTTCGTTGAGGTTGGTTTACACATTGCTCTTAATTAATCGAAATTCGATACTGTGCCTTGTTTGCGCGAATAACTCAGTTAAGTATAAAGCTTCTGTCGGAAACTTGTCCAGTCCTATTCGGGCCTCTCTAGGCCATAACGTTCTCAATATAATTGACTGTGTTTAACATATTTTCCTAGGTCACAACGTACCTACGATTGCTCTGATCCGCACGTAGTTCACAAGTCTTTTCCATATGATCGCTATAAATAAACGAAGACAAGGCCCAAAGATATTTTTCTAGCCTCGGCAGCTTCAGTTAAATTAATTGTTTGTTGGTTTATCGTGTATTACATTGGGTGTTACAAATTCCGAAAGCTGAAATCCCCAGTGATTTTGAGAATGTAAGATGAAAAACAAGATCGTTTCCGATGATCCTCAGTCAGGGCAATAAAACAAAAGGTCCATTTATGCGTAGGGATATGTATTTGTGAAGAAATGGGAGAGTAATTTGAATGTTCCCACGATTCGTTCGAGCGATGAGCCCCTTAGCATTCTACTATTCAAATCACTCTATCCCTACTAGCAACTGCTTATCTATGGGGAGTTAAATGTATTATGTTATATTGGCATCATTTTAAGACACAAACTGGACACAAGCTTGTTTGCCACTTCGCAGGATTGCTCAGACATTTTCACTATGTTTGGTTCGATAACTTGTGTCTGAATCACTGGTAAACTGGATCCCTGTATTGGTGAAACGGGCCAATATTTTTGAAAAACTTTTGACTTTCAAAGGCTAGCATGCGACCTTGAGGATTGATGAACGGTAGATATGTTGTGTATTTTGTTTGAATTTAGACTCAACCTAGACGATATACACACCAGCTAGAAATAACCGATAGTATAAATACATCGAATCAAATAGGATTTGAGCGCTGGGACAACTGTGGCTCTCAGCAGTAACTTATTGTTATTCATCGGATTTCAATCATAGCGTTATAAATCCACAAGATGGCGTGGGGACAAGGAGAGTTATTCATCACAAATGATGATAAAGGTATCGGAAATTGACATACATTAAACAAAGTTTCTCGTTAGGAACAAGTTTTCAGAAGTCCACAAGCATACAGGATAACATTTTTGTAGTTACAAAAGGGAGTCCTCTAGTCCACTCACGAATTCAGTGGGAATCCATTACCCGCTTCTTGATGCGTGCAAACTGCTCACAAGTGTGAGTAGTAAATCGCAATGGTAATAAGTACAGTGCTTTTTTATCTCTGGAACTAGCTCTTAGTGCAATCGGAAGTAATCACATCCTATATGAATAATATTTTATTCACACACACGCTGAAACAGTCTGAGGTTCCGCACGATATCCCAGATAGAATCAGGTACTCTCTATGTTTGCCATAAAATATACAAACAGATAGTTAAAAAAGTATCTGGTCTTTATTAGATGTCTTGGTTCGGTCTGCATAACTCTGTTATCCCACAATTTATGTAATTCTTTCAACACTAACATGTTCACTTCGGCAGTGGTTCTGTGGTTTGGTAGCCGTCTGGGGTGTGTTTTGGACTCTATGGTCCGAGGTTCGAGCCCTGCCACCGCCACCCAACTTTGGTGGTAAGCAGCTCTGCTGTGGTCCGGTTCACGCCCAACCTAGCACGGCCTTATGTGGTTCACCACTCCAGGTTCCGGGCCTCAGGTTGCCGGTTTCCATCACTGAACAGCAGGTCCTCGTGATGATGGTCTTTACCTCAACTGCTGTTCATCACATGAAAGTTTGCAATAAAAAATAAAATAGAACGGCTAACAATTTGCCCAACTAACATGACCCAGAATTTTTCGATAGAAGCATCTAACCTCTGTTTGGTGAATCGTTGTTGTTGTTTAGGAATTTTTAGGTGCTCACCAGCATTTTTAAAACCCCGCTTCGGCTAGTGAGCACATTAAACAGCCGTTTTTTCCCTTTTTTATCAAATGGTTGTCATGCATCAGAAAAAAAGGGAGGTGTTAGCAATGGGATCCTCGTGCCAGCGATACGGTAATGGCCCAAATCGTTTGATCACTGCTTCCATGGCCAGCCGATGAAAATCAAGTTGATGAATGTTTCATGAAAATCTGTTTTTTTTCTTAAATAAATTCACTGAACATACGAGCTTGTCGTGGCAGTTGTTTTCATACCACTAACGTTTTACGCAGGTGTACCTTGAGATTCAGTTTCTTGACCAATACAAAATGGAAAAGAAACCATGTTTAAGAGGATCTGCGTGTAAATTGTGTCATTGCATTAAGCGAAGTCTGTCCAGAAACGATGATCAACAATCTTTGACGTGTGATGTTGAGAAGTAAATATTCAAATAAATTGGCTAAAGATTGGTTATCCAATGAAATTTCATAGCACAACTGGATTGAGTCAATGAGCCAACAGTTGCACAGGCTTGAGTAAACGCTCAGTGCAGTTAGGCTGTTTAGAGATTGTGGCATCAAGCACCTAGATATTGCAAGTTATCGGAAGATACAATGGTATGGGTAGAATGACTGCGGTGTAACTTACGGAAATGATCAGTGTGATGTTGTGTAATTCTCCACATTCGGTCAAATACTTCCACAGAAATTGGCTGAGGCTCCGATTCCGCCTCCTTTATTTTCACAGCCGTTTCCGGTCCTTGTCCATCACTGCTCACATTAGATTTCATCATCACACGACTGGGGAATTCCGCGCAGGCAATCTCACATTCTCTACGTGTGACAAATCGATTCGCGTTGCCTAAGCATCCTCCGTAGAGAAATATACGACATTGACCTGTTTTTGTGTCGTAGTAGTAACGAGCTTTGTTCGATCGGCATGGACCTGGATCACTCGGAAGTTGACAAACTTCTACATTCGCAGGGTATTAAGAATGAAATAGACAGTGGGACGAAGTGAAGCATTATTCTGTGGAATCGAGATTGGGAACTAGTTTTTCGTTTTTCAAAAAGCATAACTTACTCAATGATCATGATACCAATAATAATAATGTTAATAATAATAATATTAAACAATAAAATAAACATACACAATAATATTAAACAATACAATAAACAACGACCTATCGAAGAATTTCAATCAGTGTTGTAAAAGAATTTAAGGATCCTTTATCACTCGAACTGTAACCTTTGCCCAGTAATGTACCATGCTATATCCCAGTCGGTTTCGTTTACAACGCGAGATCTTGCACTTATATTCTTTTACCCAATTTTCTATATCTGTTAAACTCATCTACCACTGTTCATTATTGTTTAATTCTATGTAGACTTTGACGCGTTGTTTAAACCATGAACTCTTAACTCGGCTTCCTGTTACTCTATAGTCATGAGTGCTAATTTTTTGTGTATTTTGTCGCCGTAATTATTTCTAGAAATACGCTCAACATTAGTACTGCCGCCAAAAGCTGTTTTTTTTCTGCCCAGACCATGCGTTTGGACAAGCTCAGCAGGATCGCTCATTCTTATTAGCTGCCGTTTTACATTTCACTACATTGATCATACTGCTCGTACTGGTTTTACCCTATTAATCGTGTATCCATTGTAGATTCCAATAGCTGAATTTCAAATTTCCGTCACTTGCAAACCCCAAAATCTTGTCACTACAGTCAAGCGAACATGTTCGGTCATCCTTGATTTTGTCTGAAAAACAGGAACAATACAGTTGTTGGAGTCTAGCAATTAGTGATCTATCTTCCAAATATACTCACTTTGAAACATATCAGTACAATAGTGTGCCAGCTCAGACTGCGAATCCAACTGTGAGGAAACAGCACTTTACTTCTTCTTTTCAATACAAGGAAAATAGTTAAGTGTCAGAAAAGGATTAATGGAACTATACTCATAGAGGGAAGGAGATGTGAATTCCGTTTCTTTTAAACGGAACAGTGGAGCGCAGAACAGGAAAATAACTATAAAGTGCTTATTGAAGAAAACGAGGGAGAGGCGCTCAAACCACACATGTGGATAAAAATAAAGTCGGACCCTGTCTCAAGCTAAAAACACAAACGATGGATATCATCGACCTCGGTTACCCTGCTGGACGCCCACAGAACCCTTCCTCCGGATGCCACGTACGACACAGCGCGCAAACCCCTCATCAAGAGTCTGAGGAATGACCGCGAGAAGTGTAAATAGATGGAGAAAGCTGCAGCTATTGGTAATAGTCGTAAACTTTTCCATCTAATTAGGAATACGGCCCCTAGGAAAATAGGCGTAAGTGAGGTAATTAAGAAATCCAATCGCCCACTGATACACGATCAGCAGCACCGTCTTGACCGTTGGGCTGAACATTTCAAGGCTCAGTTCAACTGGCCCCCTTCAACATCTTATCTTTCATTCTCCACCTCGACTGGAAAAATACTCCCAGTTGATGCTAGACCTCCATCTGAAATGGAGGTATCTCGGGAAA